CTGTTGCGCGATTCCGCCGCCTGCTGGTTTAGAGCGTCTATGCACAAACTAAGTGAAAAGAAGCTGGTATCGGTCCTGTAGTATCGGAGCACTTTTATAAGTACGAGTACGAGTTAACGCACATGGTATCGGACCGATACCCGATACTGGTATCGGTATCGGTGCATCCCTAGTTATTAGTCGTATCATTGCTAGTCAGTGTTAATTTTGTTTTGAGTGTACTGTCTATAGTTTGTAAAGTAACTAGTTTGTGAACCTCTGTACGTATGCTGCTGTGACACCTGAATTTCCCCTCGGCAGGACAATCAAGGCTATTTCTATTCTATTTACACTACATGCGTCTCCGCTCCACTCCCCTGCGGTCCRACCTCTGCAGCAAATACACAACCATTCTAATCARTGRGAGTATTTGCACTGTCTCCGCAGGGCGGTGATGAGCGGATGGTGATCTGCCAAAATTAGATCCGATCCTATTTTTGCCAGATGCTGGAGCTGCTCCGGGGTCAATATCACATCACATCACACCAACAGGAAAAGGAACGAACACAGCATCCGTAYATTCAGAATAAGACACCATAAGGTGGAATCATTTTGTCRAAATCCCAGCRCAATATATGGATATATTTCTACACAAATGCTGTCAGAATGTTTCGTTCTGTTTGGGAAGCAGATKGCAACATGTAGATGAAGCTATGTGTACACACACGATTCACGTGGATTTTATTTTGAAATCAGAAGTTTCAAAAAGACGACAGCGATAGTTTCGAYCTTAGMTATCAAAAGCTTTTATATCAATGTTTTCAGCTGTTTGGAGTTCGTTTTTCACAGAATTAATAATTTTTTGCTCTGACTTCCACATTTGTCACTGGATTTATCGTGTAAGCTCCTTCCTGCACACCCTCCCTCCTCTGTGTGTCGCACCGGAGCGGACGCTGTACAAATTGGTTTGCAAACGAACAGCCGTGCGCAGCGCAGCGGAGTTGCATGTAGTGTAAATYCGGGGTAACACTGCGCTACAGACAATGAGCCGTTGTGGGTCAGGGAATGCGGAGCATCTCATCTTCTTTAGGTTCCGGCACACATTTGACAATGCTGTCTCAAAATTAGTCTATCTAAGTATATAAAATAAGTACGTCATCAGGAAACTGCTGCTGAATGAGCTGCTCCTGATTTTCTTAATAGTCAGTTGTGTCAACACCATCTTTATTCCTGGGTCTGTGCTCTGTCCCGCCCTCGTCATTTCTGTCCATTGGGAGCAATGACTGTTACCTGCAGTGGCTTTATTTATAAATTGTAGTCCACTGGCAAAAAGCAGAATGTGAATGCAAACTGCACCAAAGGAAAAAAATAAAGTCCGCTATTTGGTCCGGACCAAACAAGTGGTGAATACACAACCTGAAATCTCTAAGAAAATATTCTGAGAAGAGCCGATTGTTTTAAAGGAGCTCCTGACTGTCCTGCACCTAAAGACTGTTAGAGATGGACAGTTTGAAAGGAGGAAACCTGAAACTCAACTTCAGCTTAGTACTAATGTGACTGACTCCTGWTTTTTGTGCTTTTCTAGTTCTTTAGGAAAATGTAGACATTTTTTTCACCTTTTAACAATCATCAACCAGTTTTTCTGTCCAGTTTTATTATTTTTATTSACTAGAGCTTGTTAAGAAGTAGATTTGAACCCTTTAAGTCTAAGAATCAGCAGCTTCAGTAAATATTTTGCTCTTTAATTCCCCCTCTTTGCCTTTTGGACTCTGAATCCAATGTCCTCCCACTTGGAAAAACTGGACTCTTGAGCTGTTCTGTTTTTTTGTAGCTCAGGTTTCATYCTGTTACAGAAACCCTGCTGTCTTCTTCCTGTGAACTGTTGAAGTTTTTATTTTTTATAGACTCACTAGTTGTTGCTATTAATGGACCAGATACAAGAAGAGATATCGTGGGTCCAAGAACCAGTCTTTTATTTTTTTTGTTCCCTTTGTTTGAAAAGTTAAATATTTGCATTAAACCTCCTAAAATCGACTGAAAACACAAAATGATCAAAAACTAAGCTATTTAAAGGAGCTTTGGTCCTTTTAAATCTTAGAATATTTTCTACTAAATTCTACAGTTACTGCAACATTTAATTATTTTAAACAAGCACATCAGCTTATCGGTTTTCCATCTRAAGATTTTTCTTTATTTCTGCTCATTAAAAAGACACCAGCGTTCTTTAAATCAGCTCTATCTGTTCCGTCTTTCAGTTTCCCTCAAGCCACCAATCAGACGTTGTTGGATAAGTTCAAGCGGCAGCACGAAGGAAACGCCTACATCGAGTTCCCCGCCGTCATGGAGCCCGCCTTCATCATCCGACACTATGCTGGCAAAGTCAAGTACGGCGTCAAGGTCAGTGTGACGTTTATAGAAACCKTAAAGAACAAACTGCTCAACGACCTCAGCTTCAGGAGGTGAAAGGATGCTCATGTTACTGAAAACTAAAAAAATGCTAACAAAGGTGGCATATTTTTATGTTAAATGATGTAATGATGTTTCTGACTGGGCTGCCACCAGTTGGTAAACAGTTTTGTTGAGGGCGTCTCYAAAGTGTCTCAAAATGTTTGCGGGGTTTTTTAATTTCCTCACTGAAGCTGCGAGGCTCACAGTTTCACTCCTAGAATTTTGAACATGTTTTAAAAATTTGTGCAACATGACAGAGCTATGTTTTATCTCAATTCCATCCATCTCAGTCGATCTTGCACTTGTCTGGAGTCGGTTCACAGAGGCAGCAGATTAAGTGGGGAGGTCCAGACCTCTCCTTCCACTGCCACTTATTTTCAGCTCTTCGGACAACTCCAAAGGGTTTCCTGGCCAGCCAAATGTCTGAAAGCTCTTTCAGAAGACACCCAGTACTGATACGTATTCTGACCACYTCAGTCCATCCAGCAGRACTCGTTTCAGATTTAAGCTTTCAGGAGGAGGAAATAAATACAAACTTTATTGGCACAAAGACTGACTAAAAGTATGCAGCAGYGTRGATATAACCGTGGTAAGAGTCAGATTATTTTGAAGCTTAAAACCTTAAAAGGACGTATTTTGRTCTGTGTAATAAAATAAGAGGCAGGAGTCATTCTGCGACTCCTGCTGCTGTCATCAACAAATTGAGTGACAGAAACACATCAGAGCAGCTGAGTTGTTGTKTTTTCCACACTTCTTTTGATTCCACACTGATTAATGTCATGCTGTAAGAGWGCGTCTCCATCTGTGACTTCTGAACGAAGAGGGAACTTCAACACTGAATGACCTGTTTGGACATGTAGTGTTACTGTCTTCTGAAAGAGCCTACAGTGTCCCAGCCTGTCCAGGGTCTCCTCCCAGTTGGACAYACCCTGAGCACCACCATAGGGAGGCATCCAGAGGGCATCCTTAYCAGAATCACTTCAACTGATGAAGTGTGAAAAAGTGTGAAAAAGAACATAGGTTGGGATTTTCTAAAAGTAAAAAGCTAGTCTCAAACACTCACAAAATACTGGGTTAATTTTGAGTCACCAACATTTCCAGTCCAATAAGTTACAACTTTAGACCCTGAGAGTCTTTGGTCTCCGCAAGGGTCTCCTCTGCTAAAGTGTCCGATTAAAAAAAGAAAAAGAGCATAGCAGGAAGTACATATCAATATGGAAAAAAGAAAATAAAACACATAATAAAGTCTCTTATGAAATGTATCAAAAAAGCAACAAAACCACATCTTGACCCTGTTGATATTTGATGRACAGACAGTAAATTGGTGTGTAAAGCTCCAGATTCACACACATCAGAACACAGAGGCACATTTTTCTGATCTTTTTTGTGATCCGGAAATGGGGATTTAAGGTCTCACAGGAATTATGTTGGAATTTTAATCCCTTTTTATTAATAAACAATCTGCTCCAGAAATATCTTCATTATTAGTATTTTTTTTTATTGTACTTAGAAAACAAAAGCTTTGAAAACAAATCATTTTAGCTCTGGCAAATGAAAGTGTCTCTTATTGAAATTTGGCTTGTTTTTAATGAAATGCTATAAGAGAGCAAACCTTCAGTCAGTATTTACATTTTAAAAGTTATAAACAAAGAGTGCACAAACTCTCAGTTAAAGTCACATTGTTTTCTGTCTCTTAATTGACATTAATTAGACAAGATTGATTTTAAAATATGTTTTGATCAAATACAGATTACCCAGTTAGTATGTGAATAAATTATAGAAAATTAAGACTGAAAACGGTTGAGTAAAACAAGTCGCCTCAGTTTAAGACAACCAACAGCTAGTTTTCTTGTTGATGTTGTGTTGCTAATTGTAGCTTGTGTTTGTGCACACAGGATTTTAGGGAAAAGAACACGGATCACATGCGTCCAGACATCGTAGCTCTACTGAAAAGCAGCAAGAACGCCTTCATTTGCGGGCTGATMGGCATCGACCCATCAGCCACTTTCCGCTGGGCGGTACTCCGAGCCTACTTCAGGGCCCTGGTGGCTTTTAGAGAGGCTGGGAAGAGACACACGCACAAGAAGACCGGTGAGAAAGCACATAAATACAAACTCTGACAACATCTTCCCTGTACAACGAGAAATACCAAGAAGCTTTGTTTTGTATGAAGCCAAGTTGGTTTAATTCGTAAAAAAAGGGGATCTCCAACTACTTGTAATATTGAACGTTATTTAAAAACATTTAATTCAACTATAAAACTGAGATGGAAAACATATTGCTGGTCTAGCTTGAACATTAATTTTGGACAATGTCTGACTTTCAGCTCCTTTAATATAAAACCGGAGCATGTTGACGGAGAGGAGAATATAGAAATGACTCGGCATGAAACTGAAAATGATGGAGGACAACAGAGCTGCTTCATTGAAAGAGAACCTCAGCTTTAGTCTTTTAGCTTTCACGTTAGCGCTAGAGCTAATATATGTATAGATGGCGACATAGTTTGTTGTTAGCTTCATAGCAAATAAATTGTTAGCTCTTGAGCTAATTTATCTATGGCATAAGTTCTAGAGCTAATAAATATAGCATTAGCTCTAGAGCTAATAAATGTAGCATTAGCTCTAGAGCTAATAAATATAGCATTAGCTCTAGAGCAAGTAAACATAGCATTAGCTCACAAGCTAAATATGGCGTTAGCTCTAGAGCTAATAAATATAGTAGCTGTGTCTCAATTCATCGGTTGTAGCCAACGTAGAGCACATTTGTTGGCTGCTTGCATCACTGCCCTGTAGGGGTGCACTAAAAAATCGTTTTACATCAGAATCGTCATTCTCGTTTACAAAGATTCAGAATCGATTTAAAATGTCCCAAAATCGATTTTTATAAATAAAAAAATAAAGCAAATCTAAAGGCTGTCAGCCTCCATTCTGTAACTACATGGGACATCCTGATGTCATCATGCAGCTGCTTCTGGAACATATGAATGTGCAGAAAGCACCAAAACAAAGAGGAAACTACAGAACTGGAGAGATTCAGCTGGCACTGTCTTCACTGAATGTTAASATTTGGGCTCATTTTGTTTTTTTACTGAATGAGTCTGAGTTTGACATGAGTAAGGTGTGTGAGGTTTGCAAAATGAAGATGAAGCACTTTGGGAACATGACAAATGGGCTCACATTATCAGTTTTGGATGAAAAATTGATTTTGAATCGAATCGTGGCCCCAAAAAACCAGAATCAAATCGTGAGAGAGTAAAAGATTCCCACCCCTATGCCCTGCATTGTAGACTGTCCAAATTCATAGGTGCCTACTCATGCAGCAGGCAAATTTTTTATTTTGCAGCAGAGTTTTTATGTTTTTTTTATGGCGGATTTTGGAAATTTATCACTGACCAAAGATTGTAAGCTAAGCAACAGCTGAAGAAACTTTTGTTGCAATGAGCTGTTAAATAAAATGCAGTTAAAAGTACTGATACTGTAACTAAACCCAAATTATTAATGTTATTATTTATTTACATGTAACATTTTTCTATTAAAATTGTATTTTGTGAAGTAATACCTTGAAAATACAACTGAAGTGGTGTGATATAAAATGTATCACGATGATAACGGGGCATCATGTGGTCATGCAAACATACAGTACATATTCCATAGACTAGACCGTCKCATTTCACTGTCGTTTATGCAGCCGACATGAGCGGCCTACAGCCCACGTAGACTGTGGCCCACGGTTTACGTAGCTTGCAACGCAAGAATTGAGACACAGCCAGTGTTAGCTTTAGAGCTAATGTATAATAAACATCACGACCACATTTGATCATTTCAACCCATATATTGTGAAGAACATGAAAATAAAATAAAATATAACTGTATCGCACACAATAGCTTTTTAGCCTGGACCTTTTGTGTTTTTGTTACAGCTGTAAGCCATCATCATCCTCAAAATGCATTGTGTCAGTAAGAAAAACTGTGACGTGCTTAAGTGGACAATGTCATAAATATATACAACGTTTTAGGTAATTATGAGTTTCCATATATCACAAAGTTTTTTTTTTAGTGGGATGGAGAAATARCATATTAAGGTCAACTTGTGATGGTAATCTGAGATCCTTTCAAGTATTTTTGTCATAGTTAAAAGTAGGTCACATTTTCAAAATAATAAAACAGATGTTTTTGGGGTTTTATGTTGTATCGTGACTGAATATGTGTATCTAGATTAAAAAAAATAATTCTAGCTTTCCTGAAAGGCAGATAAAGGGTAACAGTTATTTGTCTGTAATGTGTGATTTTATTAGTTCTCTGCAGATTAATTGGGTTTGTTACCTCAAATATCTCACACTCAAAAACAGGAACCCAAAGTTTTTCCTGACATGTGCTGTATTTAAAGGGATCCCAGATGAGTTGTAACATTAGACTTTATTTAATTAACAAATATTTTAACTGTAAAATAAAGACTGTAAAAATATTGTAGGCTGTTTAGGTTTTATAATTTTTTAACTAAATTTTAAAAAATGTATTACACGGACAGGGCCATTTTATTTACACACAAAGCATTCTGGGTAAATGATGACGTGGATAGGTCATCGGTGCGAGGCTGCTAACAACACTGAAGATTAATCTTGGACAATATCTGATGATCGACTCTTTTAAATGAAACCAGAGAGCGTTGACAGAGAGGAGAAGGTAGAAATGACTCAGTCTGTAACTGAAAATATGGATGGAGGACAACAGAGCTGCTTCATGGAAGAAGAACCTCAGCTTAGCCTGTTAGCTTTAGCATTAGCCCAGACGCTATCGCCACATATATGTATTAGCTCAGCGCTACACATTCTCCTCTCGTCACTGAGGTCTTCCATCCACATGACAGAGGGGAACACAAAAATGACTCGGTCTGCAACTGAAAATATGGGTGGAGGACCTCAGTTTAGCTTGTTTGTCATGCTAGCACCGAGCTAATACATATAAGGCAACATAGCGTGAGGGCTAGCGCAAAGACTAACAGGCTAAGCTGAGGTTCTTCTTCCATGAAGCAGCTCTGTTGTCCTCCATCTACATTTTCAGTTACAGGCTGAGTCATTTCTACCTTCTCCTCTCTGTCAACGCTCTCTGGTTTCATTTAAAAGAGTCGATCATCAGATATTGTCCAACATTAACCTTCAGGGTGGATATAACTCGTTCACACCCAGGACCTATCCACGTCCTCATTTACCCAGAATGCTTTGCATGTAAATAAAATGGCTCCGTCCGTGTTAAAATATAATTTTAAAAATTTACAAAACTAAACAGCCTACAGTATTTTTACAGTCTTTATTTTACAGTTAAAATAAATGTTTATCAAATAAAGTCTAATGTTACAACTAATCATGGATCCCTTTAATGCTCTGTCATAAAGTCATGGTTTGAGGGTCTTTGTCACCATATTTCTTTGCTACAATCATCATTTGTGTTTTTGTGTGTAGTTCCATGTATTTAGAGTAGCTCTAGTTCCTTTTCCGTCAGTCTTGTTTTTCTTTGAGTGCACTCTTTTCTTTTAGTTTGTTTTGCCAAAGATATCAGCATCAGGCGGTCTTTTTTTCATTGCAGCGTGTGAATCAGCTCTGCATCCTCTAAAGCTTTCTTACTCTTTATTTGTAGACGTGATGAATAGATATTTTATTTAGAGATATCTTTTAGGATGATTTTAATTGAACTTCAAAGGGCATCCGTTTAAATCTGCCTTGCCTGGATTGTTATGATTAATATTCAGCTAAAATATATTTATTTTTCTTTGTCCACCATCGTCTTCCTTAGGTAAACATGCTTCAGTTTGCAGAAACATTCGTAAAGGACAATAAAACCGACCTACAGAGATGATCTTCCTTGTGTTTTGAATGTTAATCATCTTCTCTTGTACAGGTTCTTTATAGTAGAAAAAACTGCATTTCCTGAACTCTTTTACTTCTTCGCTGTCTAATCTCTTTCTCCCTTTTCTCTTTTCTCTGTCCCTTTTTTGTGTGTTTCCTTTACCCTCTCTTTCCTTTTTGTTTTGCTTCTCCAAGGGCATGATGACGCTGCTCCCTGTGCAGTATTGAAAAGTGTGGATAGTTTTAGCTTTCTGCAGCACCCTGTGCATCAGAGAAGCTTAGAGATCCTGCAGAGATGCAAAGAGGAGAAGAACAGTAAGGCTGCAAAATGGATAAAAAATTAATTAAATTAAAACTTGTACTTTTAATGTTGGATTTGGGGAAACTAAAGGGACGAGACTGACCAACATCACCAACCTTAGAGCTGTAGCCAAACTCAAGTTAAACCATCAGTACTGTCTTTAAACGTTTGGTTTAATTTTGATTTGTGATTTAATTTTCGGCTTTTTCTTTTGTAGACTAGATGCTCGTTGGTCTCTGCTCCCTACGTCTCCCTCTTCGCTTCCCTTGCATGTTTTTTTTTTTTATATGCGCAGTCATTCTGTCACTTGCACGTCACTGTGAAAAGCTTGCATTAAAAACAAATCAAGAGCTGCATGGTTGGAGTGCTTTGTCTTCTGAGGTTGGTTAAGGGAAGCCACAACTCTGGGGATCCATTTTATTGTTTGGTTTTGTCTCTTTTATCCGTACTGCTTTGCTTTTCATGTGCAGTTTAGTCTGTGGGGCAGCAGGTTTGGGACTAAAAACAGCCACTAATGCAAATTAAACTGGTGATGGTGATAGAAGACTTGATTGAACCGGGACGCAGATGTTTTTGCAATAACGTCACTAACCTGCTCACAGGCAGCTTTTACACGTGGTGCAGGACACACACACAAACACACACCTCACAAAGATCAGACATTTCAGTCCACTCAAAAGTGCTTGTGTCTTTTTGTTTTTTGCTACCTTGCAGCTCCAGATGAGGTGTAAATGTTGCACAAAGTAATGATGAAACTTTGCTTTCTGAGTCGACTAATGAGCCATTTGCCGTACACGTAACAAAACAACCTGAACTAAACCCATATTTGTTGGATCTTAACTTGTCTCAGTGGACTGAATGTGGAACAAAATGAGGTTTTGATTTTTTTTTTTTATTAAAGACTACAGTGGAGACTTTCAGTATAAATATAACTCAACATCTCTGCACTAAAGAGCCCCTCCCTGTAAACCTCACACACTTGTTTTAGTTTTACAGGTGCTTTTCAGAAAATTAGATCATCAAAAAGTAAATTTAGTTCAGTGTTTCAGTTCAAACTATAGATTCATTACATTCAATTCAGTTTATTTATATAGCGCCAAGTCACAGCGTATGTCATCTCAGGGCACTGCGCGTGCACACACACACACACACACACACTCTCTCTCACACACACACACACACAC